TGATTCTGCCTTACGTTTTGTTTTCGAAAAAAAACAAAAAAACTCTTGGGCATTAAAAGCTGATTTTTTAAACTCGTGTCTAGGATACTGATTCACAGCAGCTTGCACGAGCGAAGTACATTAAAAGTCAGTTTTACAGTCCATGTGTTACTCCTCTCGACTTAAAACTAGTCATTCGTCGTGTGGCTGAAATGAGTACACAAAGTTCAAAGTGCGGAACTCATTGTCATCTCTGGTAAAAAAAATTACATGCATAAAAATTGTTCAGTCCAGTGAATGCATATCATTACATAAGATCATAAAAGAGCATATAAGAACGTTATAAAAGACATATAAAACGATACAAGGTTATTTAGGAACTTGTAGGAAACTTGTTATCAATTTCCTATAATAAGGTTCGTATGTGGTCTTATATAATCTCATACGACCATATTCATTTATTGGACGAAGGAATCTCCTATACACTTACAAGATTTCTCACTAGGGGTAGCATACCATTTATGCTCCAGACCTCCCCGAGCACAGGTTCTCAATATTCAATCCTAACAGTTCTGCCATTCTAATTTTATTAATGCATTCGAGAATCCATCGAGCCATTGAGGTAAAAATACACATTGGGTAAAAGCATTCCTAAGATCCGAATCCTGCATGTGCGCCTCATTTGCCTAAAACGAAGCGAGAAAAAAAAAAAGCGCAATGCAGGCCAAGCCTTTGCACGCCACATCGACCGTAAGAGCTTGAATGCCGTTTCAAGCAGATATTGAAAACTCCTTTCGTGAGTCCAAGATATACCTCTGGAACCCGAATCGTGTATGCGCGTGAGCGCTTGAGATCAAGTTGTGCGTGCCACCACGGAAGTTCAACCCTTTCTTTGTTTCCTTTTTTCCCTTTTCCCTATCACGTTTTCGTTGTTTTTTCTTTGTCTGGTGTCGACCGTCTCGACTATGAAGATTTTCGTTTTTACTTGTCCAAGTGAGTGTAAATTCAATCGACCACCGCAATGTTGATAAACAAGCCCCAGTTTGCGAACACCGGGTGACTGCACGTGTGTAAAACCCCGGATCCGACTGAGGCGAAGTATCTGCGCATGCGCAGTGCCGACAGCAGCGCCACCGTTTTAAGGAGAACCGAATGACGTCACCAGATTTCAAACCTTCTCCCCCTCTTTCCCTCTCCCGGGAACGCGCCTCCGACTAGTGTGCTCAGAGCCGCTGACATTGAGAGAGTTTTTTCCAATGGGCGGAGCACGTTGCCCGCTAGAACCAGCGGATTTCGCCATAACACAAAATGGCGTTACTTCTTTGTCTCGTTTAATTCCCGAGAAATCGCATAGGGTATCTATGAGTCAGAGCCACAAAATGGCCGACGGAAGTACAGTCATCCCCCCGGTAGCCAGACTGCGCTGCTGTGGTTGCCAGGCTGTCAAAAACTCCGCATAAGAAGGCCAAACTCTCTCAGTATAGAAGGCTCTGGGTGTGTCTACCGCACCCAAAACAGAAGTGGTCCCTTGATTTCCGCCTGACGACGTCAAACGAGTGTCACGCCGTCGCCGGTAGCTGCTCGCACCCTTTTTGCCGGGACTTCCGCGGCCAACCACCAGGATCGCGACGTCCGTCAGCGCGTCACTCCGGCGTCTGTGACGTCATTTGCTGTCGTTTCGGGACCATTGGGTGGCATACGGGGCGGCATTCAACACACCAGCCGCGGAGACGCACTTCGCGCGGGCGCCGTATATATACTCCAACGGCGTGTTCCAACTTCCCAGATTCGGGCCGCCATGCCTGCTCGTAAATCTGCGAAGCTACCGGACCCACGAGCGCGCGCGCCCGAAATATCCCGACTCTACTCGTAAACCAAGGCACGAACGAACGTTCGCTCTACCTACGTAGTCGTAAAACACCCGCAATAGTCCCCGAATCCTTGGACTCCAGCTTCAACCTTACGATGGACCGCAGATGGCGCTGCAAGTCATCCCAGGAAATCCAATGGCGAAGTGAGTGCCAGGCGACCTATGGGAAGACAGCACGGACGGTCACGTGGTGCGCTCAAGAATGCCGGGTTGGCTGGGTTGGTGCCTGTAGCGTCCGTTGGCGTCCATCAAACTAAAACTAAGAAATGCGCGCGCTCGCGTGAGTGTCTACGTGTGTTTGTTTGTTCAGGGGGCGGTTGGTGTCTGTGGCAAAATGTTGCATACGTCCCGAGCCATTTGACTTTACCGCGCTCTTTGTTATATGCTTGTGGGGTGCTTTAAAAAATGGCGTTTTGAGCGGGAAGAAAAGAAAAACGAGGAAAAACAAATATTTTTGGCTGGAAGACATCGTTTACGCCGAATGCCGGCTAAACCAAACTCGTTATTTTTTTCTTTTTTTTAAGGCTTGTCGTGCTTTCCAGCTTTGCTTTTATTACGCAAATTTATGTTCGTGCTTCGTGTCGAAGTAAGCCCCTAGATTATTCGTTGTTCCGGGTTTTGTTCCTCTGGGAGACGCAGCTTGAGGACGTTTATGGCATACGATATCTTGCGAGAAACGTTCCTTGTCATTGTTTCGTCGGCCGCCAGTTATGGATAACTGACTTGTTTCTTTCGGTTTAGCGATGTTCGGTACCTGTATCCTTCCTTATACAAACGTTCATTTTGAGCTTGTTTCTCTTATCCACCGTGAATATATTACCGACGTACTATGATGTATTCGGGAAGACCAATATGCCCAACAGATCTTCAAGAGAGACTGAATAGATTTAGGTGCCATGCTTCTGCGGGATATTCTGCCTCCATTAAAGTTTTCTTCTTTTTTTTTTTTTCTTTTTTTACTTCAAACGTCATTTGATTTTTAAGGCCAAGAAAAACCATGCAGGGTACGAATAAAATGGTTAATGCCGATTTGGCTGGGCCAATCCCCTCTGGTTTGGCTTCGTTTCATCAGTGAAACCGTATTGCATAAAATATGAGGCTGATAAAAGAAGAAAATACCTAGCTATGTACTGGTAGACGTACTGTTACCTTTAAGAAAACAAACACACCGCGTTTATTTTTTTTATGTTATATACTAAGGGGTTGTGACGCCACCTACGACCGAAAGCACGCTTGGTTGCGATATGTTGGATCTCGAAATTAAAGAGAAACAAAACAAGTTAAATACAAAGATATAGTCCTAGTATTTTTTTTGTTTGCAGTTACGGTTCGCTCGCATAAATTGAAATGTGACTGGTTTCAAAATTCATTTTCTCAGGGATGAAAACGCCATGCTTTTTTACGCAAATAAAAGTCATAAAAATCCAACAGTAATAGAAGGATAGACACTTAACGTCAACTCCGCCGTTTCTGATTGAAACAGTGCTGCGGACGCCTATCGTATCTTTTTCTTTGCTTCGCTATTTCTTTATCTAGAGTATTAAGCACTGTGAATACCTCCACCGCACTGTAAACCTTTAGAAATGATGCACACGTTTTATTTTGTATGTGTGTGCGTGTGTGTGCGTGCGGGTGCATGCGTGCGCGTGTACGTGTGCGAGTGTGTGCGTGCGTGTGTGCGTGCGTGCGCGCGTTCGTGCGTACGTGTGTGCGTACGTGCGTGCGTGCGTGCATGCGCGCGTGTGTGTGTGTGTGTGTGTGTGTGTTTGTGAGAGAGAGAGAGAGGGCAGCGCATCTTTCACGTGAAAGGACGAGATACCGGTAGCGTATGTTCCACAGGGTGTTTCCGAGCACTAGTCGGAAGAAACAAAATCGTAGAAATAATCCAACAAACAGAGTGCGATCAAACCTTTCACAAAGGCGACTCAGGTGGTGCATCTATCCCACACAAATTGCATAAGTGTAGATTTCAGAAAAATCATATAACCCTTATATATTTCTATTTTTTCTATGCACAAGGAGGAAAACTAAAAGTCGCCTGGTTGAAGCGACTATTCGCCGAGGACGCGACATAAAGCGAAAGTTTTGAAAGTTTTATCGTTAAGACTAACGTCCCAAAGCAGGTTGAGCAGATCCGAGGGTGTGTGGTACCACCTGGCGGTATTGCAGAGTCAGCCAGACGGTTTGGTTCCGTTTTCCTTCCGTTCTGCGATGTGACCATCAAAACGGCGCACGAATACTGACGACGGAACGATAAACCATGTGGTTTACAAATGGCGCATGACTGAACCTGGTCTGCAACTTCGGCTGTCGTAGGGTAAAACGAGCAATAAGAACCTAAAGTTCGTGACATAAAAATTCTACGCACTATGGCAGGTCCACATTGTTTCGTCGAAACACGTACTCATAACAATAAGAATCTCCGGTAAGTGGCATAGAAAATCCAGCACGCACGAGGGGTCCGTACTGGTTCGTCGATACACGTTTCGTGGACTGCTTTTCGTGGGCACCCGCTTGAAGGACACGCGTTTCGTCGCCACTGTGGCGTTCCGTGGAAACTCGTTTCGTCGACACGGGGTACTGCTACGTTGCGTTGACAAAGTATTTTTTACTAAATTCGTAATTATCTGGAAGCTACTAAACACTAACGCGTGATTAACTCAAGCGTGTTTACCCAAGCTTCCTCTCTGCCCCCCCCCCCCCCCCACACACACACACACAGTGAACCAGGGTTTATTCAATTAAACTAATTGTCAATAAACCGTCGCATACCCACGAAACGAACTGTGGACGAAACGATCTGTCGATGAAATATCGTGTCGACGAAATAATCTATCGGTGCAATGTCGTTCAACGTACGGATTTTCATCACACTACGGCCTTGTTATTACTGAATTTTCTCGCAGGCGTCGTTACCCATCCCATGTCCTCTTTTGTCTCTCCTCCACAGGTGGAAACGAAGCAGCACCAGCTGTAATGAAGGAAGCTTCGAAACCCCAGCGCACACTACGGCTCGTGGACAAGACCTCAGCAGACGATGGCACCAAGGCCCACTTCTCGGCCCACCTCGCGAGCAAAAGAAGATAATCTAGCGCAAGATTTCGTCTGCGGGACAACCGACGGTCCGAAGACGTGCCCGCTATTCCTCGAAATGGCACATCGCTGTAGGCCGTTATGGCGGCGGTGGTCGTCTTTGGTGTCCTGGTGCTTGCCGCCTGTCCTGTGGTGGTTCTGCGTGTCCCAGGCGCTGACGGTGCAACGCGCGTCAGCCTCGACGGGGTGCAAACTTTCCGAGTTTATGTGTGACAATGGACGCTGCGTGAGCCTCAACAGGTACTGTGACGGAACAGACGACTGCGGCGACGCGAGTGACGAACAACTCGTATGCTCGAGTGAGTATATGGGGACGTTTCATTTCGTATAGACTCGTATATTGCAATCTGATTTATTCCAACGACACCGTACTTATATTGAAAGTTAGCAATAGGGATGTTTGCTTTGCAGAAACAAAGCTTTCACCCTGAGATAGTACCGAACGGTTTAAGTATTTAAACTTAGACACTTGTTTGTGCGTAGTCCTCTAATATATCTTTAGTTCTTCTTGTTTTTTTTTTGTTTTGTTTTTTTGTATGTCTTTAGATATACACAGCAACTTGCCTTCTTACAAATATCATTTCATTGTGATTTTTACTACTTTTCCATTGTATGCAGTTTCAAAGGCCTATTGCAAATTAGGTGCAGTTTGATGAAATTTAAGCGAATAAATTTAGATGTGGTCTAAATACTTATCAGTGCTTGCGCGAGCAGTCATCATAACCTTAGTCCTGATGAATCAATATTTCTATTAAATTCATTCCTCATCTCATGACGGAAAGTCTCAGTAACGACACTCTTCCTGACATACCTTTATAAGCTCTTATTGAAGATCCGCAGAGGGATACTAGAAACCGAGAAAAAATATTTTATTTGGTATCGAAACTTATCTGCTTTGTTATAATCGACGAGGTCGCAATGGTAATAAAACACACTCTTCACAGAGAAACTGGGTTTAAATTCCCCCTGTCATTGACCAGACAGTAAAAATTATAGTTTTCAATACCAGAGGAAACAAGAACTGAATATATATAAACACTCCTATTTTTAGAGGTATACCTAAAACTGTGCGGTGCTTTGTTTGGCAACGATTTTGTTAGAAATATAAAATTTTTTGAGGGGTGAGCATTGTACATATTATCGTAGTGGGCGTCAAACTGGCGAATATCTATCGTGTGCATTGAGAGTTATTCCAATGCAACCTTTTGAGGAGTCACGTCAGCATACTCTTATCTGAAGCCCCAAATTCACGTATACATGCATACAGCAATATAGTTAGGATTAACGAGCGATTATTGACTTTTGCAGAGTTTATTTCATTCATCATGCGCGTTCGGATAAAAACTACAAGAAAACACGATGTCATTTTGCGGTGCAGGTGCCGAAAATTGGTATCCAACGCCAACATGCGTGCCTAAAATGCTTGCGTGCCTGAATTACAAAACGGGTTACTGAGGTGTTCGTGCTAAGTGAGTTGAAAGCTGTAAAAAAAGAAAAAAACACGCTGCTCAAATAGCGTCAGATTGACACAATCTAGATTAACTTACCGGTTATGCTCCTCTATATCCCCCCCCCCCCCCCCCCCCTCTTTTGCGACTTGGAACAACATTCGTCCGCAGGTTTTCATACGCCATGACCTCGGGCATTTCTGACTGAGACATCTCATATTTCAGATGAGCTCGTCAAGGCAACCAATGCTCAATTTTCCCAATGTATTTCCATCTACAGATGTGAATATCGTACGATGATTTGTCCACTTAAAAACAAAGTAACCCAGATTTGTATGTAACCATAACGCTCATTCGGATAACAATCTAAACCACTGGGCATTTTTTTTTTTTTTTTCGAGTTGAATATTTAAAGGGAACAAGGCGAGCTGGTTAATTATACTTGTTTGAACCGTCGATCATGATTAGGGGAGGGGGAGTGGTTTTCAGACGCACTTTCTTTACCCTTTCTCTGCGGGGATTGTTTTTTCTTGCAGACTGCAATCGGACATACTACGGTCAAAGGGGCGTCAAGTACGCCTTGCGCATGAGCGAACCTTTCCAGCGACACCTGGCCTTCGTCTGCCGGATGAACTTTGTGGCGCATGGAGAGGAGTACGGGGACCTGGTCGAGATCACGTTCCTGTCGTTCCAGGTGGGATTCTACCATCTGGCAAGGTAACCTGTCAGCTCCTCATTTTCTGCTTAATAAAAACTTTTTTTTTTAGAGATATTTAGACCGAGTTATTTATTTAAGAGTGCATAGGGAATTAAAGTAACCATATATTCACAATTTACGTAGCATCTGGTTTTAGAGCGCAGCTCTTAGGCGCCCGTTTCCACGATGAGCGTCGTCGGGGTTACCACCCGAGTTACATTATGGAAGTAACAGTTTCCCCGCTAAATTTAGCGGGGAAACTGAATGGGTCTTAAGGGCGTATGTGACGACGGTTTTACCGCTAAATTTAGCCGGGAATTGAATGCGCAGTTTTGCATTATGGGACGTCACGGACCTACCCACCAATTCAGTTTCCCCGCTCAATTTAGCGGGGAATAGAATTGGTGTTGAGGTCACGTGACGTCAGTTTTCCGTTAAAACAAGCAAAGAAACTGATTTTGTTCATAGTCGACGTGACGCCAAGTCATGTGACGTCATTTTCCCGCTAAATTTAGCGGGGAAATTGAATTGGTGTTGAGGTCACGTAGCTACAATATTCCAGCTAAATTTAGTGGGAGGATGTGGGAGGAGAGGAGGGTACGGATGAGGGGGAGGGTACAAAGGAGGGGGAAGGGAGAGCGCGGAGGAGAAGGGGAGGGTAGGGAGGAGGAGGAAGCGAGAGTATGAAGGAGGAGTAGGGGAGGGAGCAGAGGAGGAGGGTACGAAGAATGAAGAGGATGAGGGTGCAGAACCGGTATGTGAGGAGAGTGATTTGAACATATAAATATATATTTTTTTCTCGAATTGTTTAGCGCGGTTTATCGTAAAATCAAAATACCTCACGAGCTGCGCTCTAATTTCGCATTACAGAGATTTGTAAACGTCTTTCATTTTTTTTTACATTTTCCAGTTTTAACATTTATTAGGGATGGCATGCGGCACGCGGGCAGCATGTTCTGGAACCCTGGAAGTACTTCGTCGCATATGAGTCGTGGGGAGCAGATCTAAAAGGACAAATTCCGGCGAATATTTTCTGTACTCGGTTCGCATTTTCGGAAGCTGCAGCACTGAGGCTATTTCAAATCACAGAGAAGAACTCATATGTCGGAAAAAGCGTGATTCAAGAAAGCACGAGAAAACAGGAAATCGTTACGTAAATTTCCCGGCTAAATTTATCGTGAAATCGAAATCGTGCGAGAGGTCACGTGACCTGATGTCACGTGACGTAGAGTTCTACCGCTAAATTTAGCGGGGAAACTGGATTGGTGTTTGAGTCACGTGACGGTAAGTATCCCACTATATGTAACGGGGTAACTGAACTGTTGTGTAAGCCGCGTGATGTCTATTTTTCCGCTAGATTTAGCGGGGAAACTAAAGTGACGCGAACCTGACGTCAATTTTTCCATTGATTTATATGTCACGTGAAACCAAGTTCCTCTCAAAGTTTAGTGTAAAATGCACAAACACACAAACGGATAAAAGCTTTTTTTTAACCATGCTTTAAAATTCGGTAAATTACAAAATGTGCGACTAAGCAAACACATGTCCTCTTGCTCATACACATACACGTTAATATAATACCTCCGAAACCGTGCCTCGAAAACATGTCCAAATTGTTCCTTTTAACATTAATACACTCTCCCCCTCCCCCCTTCCTTTCCCTAAAAAGAAAACAGAAAAAAAAAAACTCGCTTATGTTGTGACTTGGCACTGAACACTGAACAAGCACCCGGCCGGGGTACCAACATCAAAAGGCATTCATCTTTGCTTTCAGACCCAAAGCACGTAATTAGCTCGTGATACCCGTGTAATTATCCGCCAAGACTTTTTTTTCTTTTTTTTTTCGTTTTGGTTGTTCTTATTCCGTTTAATTCGTGTGCCCCTGTTTACTTCCCGCGCCCCCAGCCAACAAAACACAACGGTGTTCAGCCGTTCAGAAACACGTCTGTATTATGCAAATTGAAAGCGTATCAGTCATAACGAAATAACCTTCGCCACGTTGCTCTCCTCAGAGTAAAAACAAAAACAACAAGCAGACAAAAAAGATTATTTACAAAGCTTTTTTTTTTTTTTTTTTTGTATAAATTAAGGCATTCATGTTCCTTTTGTAGGGAAAGATGAAAAAGGGTTAATTAGCTTCCTCTTTTCACCGTTCACGAGATTTTGCAGACCGAGATGCCGCTGGCTCGTGGGAATGGGAAAAATTCTCCTCAGCAAAGAAGACTGGTGAAATGATAAACGCCCTAATTTGGGCGTTCGACCGAAGAAACTTCCGGGATGTCGGCAATGCCGAGTTTCTTTTAAGGAAACGGCATTTTCATTTAAAGAAAATATTTTTTTAAGCGATATTCGTGGTCATTAGCTCGTTCAGAAGGCCGCAGGCTGGACACGGATAATTTGGAATCTGAAGAAGGCTTCATCAAATTCACGAATTGTTATAAGCCCGTTAACAAACTGATAAGTACACTAGGAGTTAATGTATAGGTGAAGAACGGCAATCGTTCGATCTGGGTGAGTTTCGTACCGGCACGCGTTCGTGTAATTACTACGGCGCGGTGCACCTTATGAAAGACCCCAGGTTAGCGGTTGTACTGCACTGGCTAACTTTCTCATCTACAGCTGAGACAAGTCACCCGTTAAGGCGTACTACCATCAAGTCTGTCTAAACATACAATCAACACAATTCTTCGTGTTCTTCAAGAAAAAAAGCAAAGAGCTACTCAAACAAATTTTGTTAAGACGCATGTGCCAAGACTTGCAAGTATTTTTTTTTGTCGACTATGAAGTGATGTGATTGGTTGGAATCATGTTGGGGCAACTTTCAAAGCAGCAAGTTATTTTATTTTTTAGAAGATAAAGTACCTTTCGGAACACGATTACACACTTAATTTTCATTCATAACACTGCGAATATCTTCTTAAAATTCATGCCTTGGCCTGTCCCTCTACAAGACAACATTTCTTTGCTTTCCTACTTGAGCGCAACCTTCTTTTATCATCGACTGCGTGGCAGGCTTGATTTCCTCAAACACAGTACTACAGCACTTTTAGACCCGCGTAGAATCACACGACGTGGCAACAATATGCTGGTTGATGAAGGACTTCGTTGACATTTCCGTTGCATGTTGACACTGCTGTAAATGTTGTAATAAAAGTGTCATTTTTAATTCAGTAATACAAAACATTTGTCGTTTCATTCTTACCTTAATTTCATTTTATATGTAGAACTTTATGATAAGAAACATCGGCATGTGGACGATATGAGTAGTTAAAAATACAATCCTGCCGAACCCCAAGCTTCCGTCCAATGTCTCATCTAATTTGGATTTAATTTACTCAACTGACAGTCTATCAAACCTATAGAACATGTACAAAGGTGATAACTATAAAGACAAGGTTGACTAAAATAAAACTATAAAGCAATACATATAGATCTCGTACAACCGAAGTAAACTTGCTAAATCTTGTGTTCGAGAAACAAAATGTCAGAATATTGCAGCTTATCATTAATACTCGCCAGAAATGTATTAAAAAGAAATACAGCAAGGGATAGTTGTTTTATCAGCATTCACCAAGTTCCTTTTTCTTTTTCTTCTTTTTTTGTATAGATAACGCCTCCGCGAGTAACGTCCTGCTTTGGAGGAGTGCTTGCTTTAACCTTAGCACAAGGGTGCGCTGCGGTAAAGCAAGGTGCGCAAAATCGCGATGCCTACTACGCGGTTGCCGCTTCGCTGCAGTGCACTAGTGCGCCCTGAAAAGTGCACTGAACAGAGCTAACTAACCGGTCGCTATTAAAGACCACGAACATGAGAAATATTGTGAGACTTTCGAGTATTGCCAGTGTTTGATAGAGTGATAAAATCAAATAAAATGTTATTTGAGGTGATAATCGACAGTTTTCCCAATTGTCACAGCCTACCGTAACGATCCCGCCGTGTAGCGGAGCCCGAGCTATTACATTTAACCAAAAGTGAAATTAGGTTTTAAAGTAATGCTGACGTAAGTTCCTTATATTTCGGCATGATGATGCTGGATGTAGTAGAAAAAGCACTTTGGCGCACTCTGGCGCAATCGGCGCAGATATCAAAACACAAAGTAGGGGGTCACAGCGTTAAAGAATTCAAAACATTACGCGCCCCCAAGCTTATAAAGCACTCTCAGGCCAGGCGAATAACTTCATTTCGCGTTCCTTTCATTCACATCTCATTTGTGATTGTGAAATGGCAGTGGAAGAGCTTTATCAACATCTCTGTGGTAAACCCTGTCTAGCCAAAGGATCAACCAAGTACGCCCGCAGGCACGGCAACAATTCTTCGTTGATAAAGGTTCACACTGAACCATGCTTCTGCACAAATCAGCTTCTTGTCTAAGTTATTGTCACTGGGACGCCATGGGGGCTACAAACGAAGCAATTTTTTAACTTTTCCTTAACAAGGATCGGATATTGAGAAAAAAAAATCGCGACAGCTCTGAGCAAAAAAATAAGAATAATAATTATATAGATATGTATGTATATACAAATATATATTCTAAATATTGTTGTATTTTTTTCTTTCAGCAACTCAAGTCCGAGCTGTCTTCAAGGTCACATGAAAGTCACCGAGGATCAGGACTCGAACGACGTGGTCCAGTCCGACCGCCCGTACAGTGCGCAGCCGCTGCGCCCCGTCAAAGACCGGATACACCACGGCCACCACAGACCATCGACAAGACTCGTCGACCGAGACAAAACCGACGTAGTCACGCAGCGCGCAGCCGAATTCGGAGGATTCTGCGGCAGCCTCGTCGGACGCAGCGCGACCTTCTACAGCGCACGACGAAACGTAAGCCTAACGGTGTCCTTCCCGGTCTCGTCTTCGGTCAACATGGCGACGACGGGAGTCTTCCTCACGTACCGCTTCCTCAAGAGCACCAAAACTCACGACGACGTCTTCTACGGCGACCCGGTGCCGGGCTCGTACTGCGACCGCGTCTTCACCGACTGCCATGATAAGCAATGCCGGATCAGGTCGCCCAACTATCCCGGCTTCTACCTACGAAACGTGACGTGCACTTACCACATAAAGCAGACGCAGGCGCCGCCCGGACTCGTTTCCCAGATTGTGCTGAATCAGCGTAACGAGTACAAGATCACCATCCACAGCGGACAGGCAAACGCCGGCGGGGTCCTCTACAGCGCGTTGACGACCGAATGTGCCGGGGACGTCGTCAGAATATCCGATGGGTCTCCGAGCTCGGAGTCGGTGACCCTCCTCGAGTTCTGCGGGTCGGGGCCACTTCCGGACGTGACGTCGTCCGGACCGGATGTAACGGTACAGCTCATCAGCGTGCCTTACCAGCAGCTCCTCGAATCGCGGATGGAACTGGATATTTCGGTGCGGTTCGTAGACCCGACAGAATTCAGGATGACCGGACGCACCTGCAAGTTCATTCTGGACAGCTCCGATCGGCGCAGCGGGCAGGTGCACGTGCCACGACACACCATCCCGGCAAACACGGTCTGCACGTTCGAGTTCAAAGGTCGGTCTCGTTTTGAACGTGTGTGGTTGTATTTCACGAGTTATTTTGTTCCCGATCGGCAGCCGTGGACGAGCGTCGAGAAGTGCGATGTAAGCCAGCTCGAAGTATACGACTCAGCCGTCTTTGACAATGGCGCATACAAGAACGAAGACAATGACACTTCGGGGCTCATGGGTCGGTTCTGCGAAAAGTCGAGTCCGCGGGTATGCAGCCATGCGAACGACTATCCGAACCTCATACCAGCTCGGCCATGTCACAGGTCGACCGAGAGCTACTTCTCGAGTAGTCCCACCATGACGCTACGTTACAAGGTGTTTCAGAGCGGCGACGTCACGTCGAAGACCAGTTCCTTCACGGCACGGTACGAGTTTGTAGACACCTCTCAGAACGGAGAACCCATGAACGACAGCCTCTGCAACCGCCTCTTCAAAAGCAGGACGAAGTCGAGGGGACGGGTTGCGTCGCCCAAAAACACTTTCTTCTACGGACGCGGCGGCGAGAAAGACTTGACGTGCGCGTACCGATTCCTCGGAACATCGCAACAAAGGGTGCGCATACGGATCGACAAGCTTCACTTGTCAACAGAAGGTTGCTCGACACTTTACGACGCCAACCAGCTACGCTACACTTGCAGGCAGGGCGGTAGGTTACCAACATCCGTTAGACGGCGTCGCCTTGCGGAGCTCAACATGTCGGAATCCTGGTTCGGCATATCAATCCCAGTGGGCTGTCTATGCAGCAATTCCACGTTCCTCTCATCGCCGCTTGAGCTGACTTCGGTTGGCAGCGACGTCATACTCTCGTTTACCGTACGGGGGATGGCCGTTCACGAAGACTTCACCAGTTTCGGTTTTGAAGCAACCTACGAATTTCTCCCGCCCAGCGACTGCGGTGCAGACACCGGTCTTCTCAGGGGTCACGTCGGCGAGGCTGAACTTTCATCTCCAGTGTTTCAGGAAGATGGCCCTGGCGTAGGAGCCTACCGCAGCGGAATCTTCAAGCGATGCCGATGGCTCCTGGAAGCCTCACCGGACAAGTACCTCTACCTCCAGGTCATCGGTGGTCGGCAGAGCATCAGCGACTGCGGAGACAACCGTCTGCTGGTCTACTCAGGCGAGAACTTAAGCCACGTGACCCTCGTTTGCGCGTCCACGTCATCGGTGGAGGACCCCAGCGCGGTCGACATCTTTTCTCCGGCTTGGGCAAATGAAACCAGGACTGCAACGTCTTTGAGGCCCGAACGGTTATTGCTCGAGACACTCTGCTCGGAGGAGTCTTCTAGCTTTAGAGTGCGATGGATGGAAGTTACCAGGCCCTTCTTCAGGACGCGGTCGGGTCAGACCATGAGGAACGTCGACTGCCTATACGAGTGTCCCGAGCTTGACGCTTGCATCAGCCCTGAATTGTGGTGCGACGGTGTGGCGCACTGTCCGTCGGGGTATGATGAGGTGCCCGAGAATTGCTCGAGGTTTCCGACACTCCAGGTGATTCTCGGATGTGCGGGAGCGCTAGTCGTGTTTGTAGTAGCGCTGGGAACACTGGCTCTCATGAGGAGATCGTGCCAGTTCAAAAAGTCGAAGTCATCTACTCCTTCTGGACACCCTGTGTCGTCTGAGGATGTCCCCATGGACAGTATCTGACAAGAGGCCAACGGGAAAGATGTCATTGAGAAGGACACTGTTAGAGACAAGGAAAGTGTTCAGGACGATGTGGCTTAGTCTTTCCCGGCCATTAAGGTGGTGCGAAAGTGTCGTGCGACGGACAGTACTCGATGATTCGTCTTTCCAAAGATCATTGAACCGCGTTAAAGAAGAACTTTGATATGTCAAGTCAGAAACACAGTTTTATGTGAATTTCCTTCGGGAAGATGGTGAAAGATACAGAGATTGCAAAGAAAGAAATATTGTGATTTTTGTGGAGTCCTGAAGAAATATTTTTTATCTAGATGAATCACGGGCTGCTCTTAGAGGATACTGTGTCACGTGAAAATGTAAAGATGAACGTTAGAATGTGCGTCGACGCTTGATGGTTTTATGAGCGGCATACCTGCGGATGATTTAGCAGGACTTACATTTTTGCACTCAGGTATTTCAGTCTTCAACAAATTAAAGATAGGTAACCATCAGGTTCCAGTTACTTTTGCCGTATCAAAATAAGATACTATTTACCTATTTTAGTCTTGAGCTAAGGCATTTTTTAACCTTGTTTCCGCAAGCGCCCAGATGTTATATTATATTTCTAACAGAATCCTTGAACCCTGAAAGAAACAAAGGTGTTTCAAAAATACAAAGCTGATACTAAACAGGAAGACACCACGGCTCACAATCAAGCTGATGACTGGAAGCTAACACGAAGCGGCGTGCATTCGAAACGTAATTCTCCAACAAGCACTGAACTCAAGCATCCAGACTTCCCAGTGCCATCAACATCAAGGCAGCTCGTCTTGTCCTGCTGCTCACGATCGTTGTTCACTCGTTGTGCGTGATTCTGCGTCTGTGCGCGTGTGCAAACTTCAAAACTTGTGTCGGAATTGTGAGTGCGACTCAGATTTGACTGCTTTCTCAGAGACCACGACGCGAGACAAAGAAGTGATCATTTTGTACGACCTGAATATTTGTATAAAGCGTTTTAAGTGTACCCGGATCAACTTCAGTCAAACTGGTGTGAAAAAATAGGCCTTTTGCGAAGCGTGCAGTGTCGTTCGCGGCGCCGAAAGGAATGCCGGGAACTCAGGGTGGAATCAGTTGTAGCAGACGAGAGGGGCAACCTTGGAGGCGGTGGCGAGCGGGCGGTGGCGAGCGGGCGGTGGCGAGCGGGCGGTGGCGAGCGGGCGGTGGCGAGCGGGCGGTGGCGAGCGGGCGGTGGCGAGCGGACGGTGGCGAGCGGGCGGTGGCGAGCGGGCGGTGGCGAGCGGGCGGTGGCGAGCGGGCGAGGGCAGGCGGGCACCTGCACTGCCCCCTTGCCCTCCTCAGAGTCACGTGGGGGCGAGGGGCGCGCAGGACTTCCCGCGCGGCGTTGTCTGATTTTTGTGAGAGGTCTATTGAGAAACCCGAAATAGTTGGCACTGCCGAAAAACGTCAAAGTCATTATTGAATAATTTCGAACATTTACCCGTTTTAACCTAGTTTAGCACGAGCTCGTTCACAAGTAAAGAATCGCAAATTGTTATTTTTATATCGAAGCATTGGCTTCCATATAATAATCCCCGTATAATCATTTATAATATTTTCTGTATGTTTTAAACAAATTTTTAAACCAGTAATTAGACACAAATAAAAAGGTTGAAACTATATAGTGTATTAAAAAAAGTCCGTATGCCTACATCTCCCCAAAGCACAAAAAAAATACGATCAATAAAATATACAAATAAAAATCCCAGCGTATGAACAGATTGCAAAAATTTACCCCCAGCAAATGAAAACAAAATGGTACATCGAAATGCGAATACCATGAAGAATTCCCTATAATTCTTTTCTACTTAGAAGAGACATTTAGGTATACGCATTTACCAATTGGATCATCATATCCGGACGACTGCGTGAAATACTTTGTTTCAGAACTTGAGCACAATTAAGACGTGTTTCCCTGTGCGCTACTTCAGGACCGGAAAAGAATCCACAACCACCTGACCGGACGCTGTCCAATCGCTTTGCGACAGGTGCCTCTGACAAGCGGTTGGGTTGAGACGCAGCCGGAGATTTCAGTTTATACTGGCTGCAGGTAGCCTACACGCTAAAACACATAACAAAAGGGGCTACTACGCTGCGAATCAAGCGTTCCCCAAATCCGCCAAGAGCTAATTCAGAATTCAAAAGAACGAACTAAATCGCCTCTCGCTAAAAGCAACATTGTTCCGACAAAAAACATTTATACTTCCCATTAGCGGCAATCCCTAGAACGACCCACCTGCGGACTCCCCCCCTCCACCCCTCTTCCGGTAATTGTTAAAAACCACGAATTCGAAACGGCCAAGCCCCCGTGCAAAACACCGAGGTAATCCAGGGTGCTCGGAAACTTCCATCGTAATCATAAATGCACCCAATTTTTTTTTTTTTTTAAATTTCTTTTATTATCTTTTTAAGGGGCGGGATCACGTATACCGGCTCGAATTACCGCAATAACCTCACACTACGGAGGCCGCCGCCACCGCCACCGCTACTGCCTCGGACACTTCAAAACGCATGATGGCTCGCTATGAAGGCACCGCCACGTGACCCAGGCATTCGCTGCAGGCAGGGCCGGCCTACGTGATTTCCCTAGTAATGGGGAGGACCGTAAAAATGGCCTCCGTCTGCCCGGAGAGAAGGAGCCACTGGTCTACGCGCTTTCCTGGGCTTCGGCGTTCCGAGGTAAGAACCTTTCTCCCTATCCTCCTCGCAGAGCTTATGTGGTATCCCTATTTCCCCTTCCCTCTTTTTTTTTAACGTTTTCTTATCTTTATGCGATGGGCGCACGTGTTGGTGGCACATTAAACGTTTCGCGCGAAGCTACGCCCCAAATAATAACCCAAGTACATAAATGAAAAGGCTTAGCGGATTCGCGAAGCAAAGAAAAAAAATGCGAGCGAAATAGAAACAGGGAAAGCAAAAAAAAATGGGGAAAAAAAAGGCGGGAGGGGAAAAGTCTGCAAGGGGAAGGACAGAAAAAGGTAAAGAAAAAAAGACATCGCGGGGAATGGAAGAGAAAAAAAAAGAAGATACTTCCCCCCCGAAAAAAATGAAGGGGTAAAAAGAAAGACAAACCATCCCCCGTAATAAATGTTCGTAAGGGTTGCCTCTAGCATGTGACATGTCAAGGGTGGTTTAGGCATGTCCGTCGCTACGTGAGGTTGCCGGGTGATTCTCTAACGTTTTGCTGTAGTTTTCTTTTTCTTTTTCGTTTATTTTCGTACGTAGCGTTAGTTGACCGACGCGTAGAGACAAACGCGTAACGCGACAATGATATGAGTTCGAGGGTTGCATCACGCTCCCACTAGGGTACGCTCGTGTCGCTAACGTTGCGGTACACCAGCTACGCACGCTTTTAAATTCGCTTGAATTTTTTTTTTTTTTAAGTTTTCTTTTTGACCCTTTTAATGTACCGTGTACGTTTAAAAGCTCGTTTTTGTGTAGAGCAAGGTTATTCTTTGTCTACGTTCCAGATGAGCCATACCTGGGTATCGCGAGTTTTGCTGTTACAATTTTAGGCGCGCGAACCAACGATCCAGGAGTCTAATTGCCGTTTAATGCAACCCCCCTCCCCCCCTCGCCCACACGGTTTGAAAATCAAAATCGATCCATCATTGTCATCCCTAATGTCTTTGGCGATTCTTTACCTGGGCCTATTTTCACAGTCATTCGGCATTATTATTTTTTTGCGTATAGGTAAGAGTACTGTTTTTCTTATTGTTTCTCCTTAATGGATTACTCTTGTTCGCTTCTGCCCATATAGTAATACTTCTGATGAAACACCAGCATTACTAACAGCAAGCTCTGACATATGACGAGTTAATAAACACCCAAATTTGTGTTTGGTTTTTATCATTCTTTAATCAGGGCACGATCTTGTGACACAAATCAGGGTTTTTGGCCTATACACAGGTGTAACATGAACAACTCGATCTCCCTATGGCGGGGAACTTAGCTGGAAGGCTTTAATTCCAAAAAAGTATATGCGCATAAAGATGGTCCTCACGAGCCATTTGTATTGACATAACGTTAACGATTTTTGTTTTGTTTCTTTCTACTTTAAGCTCTCATTTTTTAAGTGTGAAACAACTCGAGCAACCAAAGCAATTGTTTGTTTGTTTTTTTAATATCACATTAGTGATATTTTATGTTATCGGATATCGATTACTCTCCAAACTCAAAATAAATTTGCAATGCCATGCTTTCGCAGTCGAAGTAACTTTTTGGATTTAATGTCAAACAAATCAAAAGCTCAAAAAATTTCTCAAAGTTTCTGGTAGCTGAGATCGAAGAAAACTTTTGTTTACACAGCGCTCGTTAATTTTTTTTTTATAGTTTAAAGACTTTGAACGAACAAACAAAATTAATTTCGTATTCCCAAATTCCTATTTGACACCTTAATTTATTGAACGCTTAAGCAATTACTTACGCTAATTTTATTTATACAAAATGCTCATGCATGAAATGGTGTCAGACTAAATTTGTGCTACGTATTCATGTTTCGGTGCACGTGGCAACAAAAATCGCTAAACATTAAATGCACAAGCCGTTCGGTGTATTCTATAATAATTGAATGCTTAAATGCAGTTCACGGCGAGACCCAACAACTTATTATCACTCCACAGCAGATTTGCACGGTACTCCTTACAATGAATCAAATTACTCGTAACTTATTACATTTCGGAGTAGTCTTGCAATCATTGGATCACATTTATTAGGAAGTCATCTCTACAGTAGCCTGATTACTGTTTGAACTTATTAAAATTACACCTAAGCGTTACCATTTCTTTCCCTCCCTTCCCGATGAATCCTGCTTCCACAAGTTTCCTACCAAGGAATCATCGTGCCAAATCTCCGATCCCAGAGGGATAAACATAGATATTAGGGTTTTACTTACCTGATTACATAGGTAGATAAGATTAGAATCACCAAATCACGATCTACTTAAAATAAGTAGATCGTGATTTGGTGATTCTAATCTAATAATAGATAGTTTTAGGGGACTGTGTGTGCACATGCGATACGGTATGATGGGAAATCCGGTACGCACTGCGCATGCGCTGACGCAGAAAAATCGCATAGGCGCAGTTCGTACCGGAAGGCCCATCGTACCGTATCGCTTGTGCAAAATACGGTTCCCGAAAACTCCCTAATGGAAAGTGCGAGAGACCCCTTTTTGAACCGGCTGAAAACTCGGTCGTTTTAAAAATCTGTTGTGATCGGGAGAAAGTAATGGTTTCGTATTCAAGCAACGGTTAATTACTGTTCGTATCGAGTAATCGAGAGGTCTAGCGGTTTTTCTTAATAAGTGTAATTGTAATTGTAATGATAATTTTTTGGGGGCGGAAACGTGTACAATACTGCTCCGATAGTGGCATTAGCCGATGACGACGCGCAAGAACAAATCACTTGGCAAGAAGCGTGGACATGATAGACTACGCCCAGCGTTTATTAAGCTCCCACTGACAGCT